GTGTGTGTGTGTGTGTGTGTGTGTGTGTGTGTGTGTGTATATATAGATGTGATCAATGTCAAAAGAAAATAGGTCTGATAGAAGGTTGATAATTTCACTGAAGCCTGATCCATAGCTGCACGGCTTCCTGGTGAATGCAGACAGAGGGAGGGAAGGCTTTAGCCGCTTGACTCACGGCCCAGCCAAGCAAAACATCTCACAAAATGAGATTGTGCATAATATTTTCAAAAGGTTTGCAGAAGATGAAAAGMAGACAGAAATGTGCATTCTCTCAAGGAATGTCAGTTCTTTAATTCAGTTTGGGTTATTAATATCTCCAAGGTGAGCTATTTCTGCTCAAGGCTATTCAGTCAGACCTTCACACTGGCTGTGCCAACAATAAATAAAAATGAACGTTGGTAAATGGTGGTCTTGATTAACGCCTTGCTTTTATAAGAAGAAAATGTAACACTTTGGTTCTTAAGAAAATAAAAACACTCCAGTCTGTGTAGTTACCAAATTACACAAAATACCCAATCAGATCTTACAAGCTGGATAAATATCTGCTTGATGAAAATGTCTTTTACACAAACTCTGCTTTCATTTTCCCAGTAAGCATTAAAAAGGGAAAATATGAGGATTAAACTGTATAATACCAAATAAACTGCAGAWTAAACTGGTAAATGCATATTCACCAAAAAAAATGTTATTCAACAAAAACCATGGCTGCAAGTGGTGGTGAATAAAAATTAAGTAGACTTTAAGAGACTAATGCTTTTCCTTACCATCCTTGAAATGATACACACATATGCACACACACTGACTTTAGAGTTGCATGATAAAACTCCAGGTGGATGTGCRTCATAAACAATCCAACTCCAGCACAGAAATTAAAACTGATGATTGCTACACCCTGAAAATGAGACCTTATGGAAGCAAAAGACAGGCTAAGAAATGGTGGTGTGTGTGTGTGAGTGGATGAGTATTTGCTATTTCCTGGGGACCATTGTCCAGACAAACAGTCCAATGYTCCTTATGTGGACAAAAGCCTGGTTCCCATGGGTATGGATGCAGATTTTGGGTGTGGGGGTTTAGGACCAAGGTCTCGAGTTTAGGCTAGGTTTAGGGTTAGGTATKTACWGGGGTGGTTAAGTTTAGAGTAAATGTTCCATTATAGGCTACAGAAATTCCTTGAAATGAATTGAAGTAAAAGCAAAGTCCCCATTAAAATAGAAAAACCAACATTTGTGAGTGGTGGTATTTTTTTTGTTTTGTTTTGTCTCCCAAAGGCAAATTAGCTTTTCTGCAATTAAAACGGTAACAAAAAAATCTTTAGCCAACATCAAAGAAGTCTTGATAGAACCTGAATTAAATTGCCTTTTTCCTGAATGGCTAAGATTCTGAAAAGCAGACAGAGTGCAAAAGACAAAAGATTTACTGTAAAGTAAAAAAAAATGCATCATTTGTATCATATTTCTAAAAATGTGGTCATTACTGCCTACAATATTCTGTACACACACTGAGTAAATCCTTCAGGCCGTTTCCCTATCTGTTCTCACAACTTCCTGCACATCCACATGCACAAGTCAGAACATAACTTAAATGTCAAGCCAGCTTGTCTTGGAGCGATAAGGGAATTTTCCTGCGACTCATATGAAACTTCTCTCTGAAGGTTTGAGGGACAGAAAAGGAGAGCTGTGGGAAAGCGTTTTGCTACCGCTCAGCAATCCTCTCTCCAAGTCAATTAATTTCGGCCGCAGAGGAATCTGCACTTACCCTTTCCAGGTTTTTCTCATGTTCTACTGCCTGTCATTCCAAAACAATCTGACCTGAGTTCTTATGACCTGCTGGATTCTGCTCAACACGAGACTGAGCAGGAATGAAATGGAAGCTGCCTGGTAGCAAAAACAGTGGCATATATACAGCGGGTAAAATAAGTATTGAACACGTCACCATTTTTCTCAGTAAATATATTACTAGAGGTTCTAATGACGTGAAATTTTCCAGATGTCGGTAACAACCCAAGTGATCCATACATACAAAGAAATCAAACCATAAATGTCCAGAAATGAAGTTATTTGTAATAATGTGGAATGGCAC